TAGCACGGAGAGTGAAATGAGTTGCCCAAGTTCTGTCAGCTGGTTTCCAGCTTGTAATCCAGTCCCTGAGCAATGAATCACACTGCCTACCAAAGGCCAATTTGTGAAGGAATGAGCTCCTACTGGGAAGCAACAGGCTAGTACATGCCTATTGACTTCCCTGCCAGATCCTCTGTGTCTTGGCTCAGTGCTGTGCTTTACTGCTCAGCACATTGTCCAAAAATGTTCACAGCATAGCTCAGAGGTAGCAACAGACTTGGAAAAAGCCACAGATGACCCTTTTCTCTGTGTGTGTGTGTATTCTGGATGCATGCATAAAACTCCTCAGGATGGCAGAGTATTATTACAAACAGTTACAACTACATTTGATTAATGTCTTGTCTCAAAATCCACTTTGAAAAAAAGCCTCAGGTATTAAAATGATAGACATGTAGTGCTAATCAAAATGATGCATATTTTTAGGATACAAAACTCTGGGCTAACAGTGCTTAGTCTAGAACTGCTTGCTTTTTCTTGTAATCAAAGATACACATTTAGTTCTGCAATCTTAGCATCCAACTTCCTGAAGGCATTGGGCTCCCATTGGGGCTGCTCAGACATGGTCAGATATTATTGAAGATCAGGTGGCTTCTTCTTTTGAATTGAGAAAATATGGAGATATTGTAACTTCCAAGTTCTGTGTCTTTTGAGCTCTTGTGATGCATAATAGAGATTCCTTTTAAAAGATTTATTCTTGTTAAGTTTGTTTTCTTTTCCATTATAAATCCTTCATTGCATATACTACTGTTGTTTTTTGCTTTGGTGAAAACATCAAAAATGTGTTTATGCCAAATGCTCTCAAATTACGAATCCTGTGTTCTGTGGACTGTAGGATGTGCTGCTCTGTTGTCATTTACCTTTGTCCCCTGAAAATTTTATTTAAAAATAGCCAGAGAGAAACAGATGACAGCCTAACAAAAGGTCCACACTGTACTGTACTGTGTCCCCTCCTCCCTCCCTGAGCCCCTTGTTCTAGCAAAACTCCTTTGCTTTCTCCTTTGATTTGCATGAATCTACCTTCAGAATTTTTCAAACATTGCAGTGCATTAAACACTACAGCAGATGGTGCTTTTTGACGATGCCTTTCTACATGAAGCAACATTTTGTAGTGTATGCTGCATTATCAAAAAATCAAACATGTAATTATGCAAATATGTATGCCTTTATAATAATCAAGTTTTATTGTAAATGGTTGATGCACATCAATTTGATCCTGTAGTGCTGCTTTAAGTGCAGTTTAAGTGGCTTTTCAGTGTACCCAGAGGCAACACAAATGCATCTCTGGAATATTAATAAAATTCTGAATCTTTGAGACACCAACTGGTACAGCATTGCTTATACTGATTGAAACTAAATGCTAATCCTTTCCTTTATTTTAAAAAAAGTCCCCTTTGTTATTTAAAACACTGATATTAGTGTGATATAAAGGGCCATTTTATTTTAAATTGTATTGTAATGTAGTTGTTAAAATAATGTCTAATCATACTATATTCAGATTCTACAATGTAAATTTGATGAGACCAGAATCCAATCATTTTACAGCCGTGAAAACAGAGACGTATGTTAATATGTCCAGTTGTTCTGATTCTGTAAATTTATTAAGGAAATATCTGGTTTTAGATTTTAATTCTGAAGGCTTCCAAGTAACTGACTCCTGAATGCTCACTCAGAGATGGTTTTACTTGTGAAATATAATAAGCTAGATACTTGCAGGAAAAAAAAAACAGCAAGGATTTTGATATCTATAATGAAGTGTAAACTTTATTACTGATCTGGTCCTGCCTTTATACATTGGTTAACTTGGCTGGTCTAATGACAGCCATCTCTCTGAATGCACACATACACATTTTGCTGTGTTTGAATCAGCAGACAGGCTGTGGGTATAGATAAACCAAGACTGTAAATTATGTTTTGCCTGTTTATTCCTGCTGTTCTGAAAGCAGGGCACGAAAGGAGCAGATTTCATTGTTCACAGGGAGAAGGCAGTAGCTATACCATGTCCCCCTTACAGTTCCAATAGGTTGTATGTTTATTTTTTGGGTTTGCTATAAACAGAGGCTTTGTTAACCTGAAGGCAGATTGAGAAGGCAAACAAATGAATATGCTTCCATCTTTGTGCTTCCTGGACTTTGCTCAAAACTAATTTCCTGTAGACTTAATGAAGCTTTATAGGTTGAGCTTTCACTCTGTAAAAATTTTGCCTTCCTTTTGGATCCCTCTTTCCAATTTACCTTCCTCACCATCTCTCTGTTCTGCTATTTTTGTTTTATGCAGTTGGTTATTGTCTCTCTGCCCTTTGTCCTTCCTCTACCTCTTTTAATTGTATTTTTTGTTTCCTTTCTGTGCTTGTTTGTTACCCCTCTTCCCCTTTACCCCTCACAGATTTTAACTCCTCTGTCAGCCTTCTGCTAGTCAGGTTTTTTCCCAAATGTTTCTCTCAGTTTCTCCATTTGGTTCCCTAGCCCTTCCACAAATGTGTATTTCCTAGCTCCCATTCTGCTTTCCACATTCCCCTTCCAGGTTTTACTGTCTGATTTCTGTGTTTATCTTTTTTATTTTGTCCCTGCTTTTCTCAATTCAGATTGGTTCAAAATATTGCAGGGAAAGCTGCTCTTGAGAAATTTCATCCAGATTGCTCGAAGAGCAGCTGCTGTTCTGGCACTTCCAACACTGAATCAAACCTGAGCCCAGGGGATAGGAGGTCCTTAAAGGATCAAAGTGCAGCTTCAGAATCCTACCCAAAATATTGGCAAGCAGAACACGAATATAAACCCACAGCCAAGAGTAGCTGAAACCTCTTACCACAGTTTTGATGAGATCTGGTATTTTAAGGGTGGTGCTTGGTTTTCATTTGGTTTTTTTCTTCTTCTGAAATAAGGATTTTTTTCCTCTCCTTATTTAGCATTCTTGAGACTCCAAAGCAGGGAAGAGACATCATGCATCTTGAGAAGGCCCTAGGGCCCCTAAAATTCTCAGTACATTTTTGCTGCTTTGCTTAATACATCAACTCATTTAAATACTAAGTTTTGAAAAGCTATCACAAGAAAATTCTAAGTCAATAAACTTTCTGCTCTTACTGAGACTGCAGGTTACTTAAAGCAATCATAGATGCTGAGAAACAACTGGAAGATTTTTCTGAACTGAAAAAAGCTCTTCAGGAACTTCAAATTAATAGAAACATTTCCATAAAATAATGAAATAGAAATATATAAAGAAAAAAATTCTTAAATGGCTCCTGCCTTCAGGATTTGTGAATAAATTCTTATGTATGCAAATGTGAAAGTAAAGTTTATTAGCGACAAAATTTAAATTGCTGACTTCCCATTTTTTTCAACTATGAACACTGAACTTGGTTTCTTTTTAATACTATATTTTGTCTAATTATCTTAAATTACATTTATGGTAAAGTTACTTGCTTTTTTAAAAGTACCCCTTTAAATATAAATTCTGCATGTCAGTGTATGTAGCACTGAAACAGAGAAGCTGCCTGAGTTAAATTATTTGATTATTCACAGAAGAAGCCACCCAGATTCCTGAAGTTCAATGGGCAAATGGTTTTTATCAGTTTCATAAATCTGTTTGTATGTGAAAATCTATAAGTACTATTGCTTTTTGATTACATTTAGTATTCAGAAACCAAATGATACAGTCTGCTTCTGATTTTTATTTCAGTTGCATGGCATTTCAAGCTTAATTTAAACACAATAATAACAAAGTCTATGTCTCACGTGTTGATTTCATTTGTAAAGCCACCTAGACAGCCACACACTTTGGTAGGCTTTTTCTTACTAGTTATATGTCAGGAATGCTTAGACATACTTTACCTGCATTGTATGTTGACCAAAGCCTTGAATAAAAGATTATAGTATTTGGATGTGTTTTGGAACAAAAAAAAATTACAAAAAAATTGCAGGAAATCTGAAAAAAAATATTCTTAATATGGTAAGGCTTGATATATAGACTTTTAAAAGTATGAAATGATAGGCAATGTTCTGTCTTCAAAGAAAAAACATTGAAACTCATGGTCAATTAATACTGTGTTTCATAAGATGTTTGTCTTTCCAGGCTGCATCAGTCACTAACAGTGAATAAACCGTGAATAAAACACAGCTCAGTAATTGCCTGGTGTTTTGTTCTATATATGCAAACATCTGATTACTGGTGTGGTTATAGCAATCTGGTAGAAATCCCCATGCAAGCACAGAAGCTTGGTCCAGGCACAAGGGATTTCACTTCTAGCTTGTATGCAATGCAGCATAGGCTGTCCATATCTCTTCATTTACTTTATCCTCTATTCTGACTACCCTGGTGGTGTGTATTAGCCTGCAATTAAATCTCAGTTAAAGATCTTGAAAAGAGTGTGAACAAAGTTTTAATGTGCTTTGGCAGAGCCACACCCCATAAAAGGCTTCAGCTTAGCAGCCACCTCACTGCTTTGCTCCGTGGAAAAGCAGCTCATCACTTTGCAGTGAGGGGATCTGGTACCTCTCCAGCAAATACTCCCCAATGCTTCAGTTGCTGAATTCCTCTCAAGACCTTCAAATGAACACCCATTCTCATAATAATTTCTTCTGGTCGGTTGAAGTGCTTTAACTCTGACCATTTATGATTCTGTTTACTCTTTTGAGGATAATTTATCTGAATTCAAACCCTAAGATGTGTCAGTGCAGATATTTTTTAGAGAAGGTGGCTGCCTTAATGGCTGCATTGAAAATAATACTTTTTAGAGGAGAAAAGGTAAAGAGTGACACTGTTTATGTTTTTTTTTAATGATCCTACTAAATACCACTCTTTGCCATTTCACTCTTCTTTTAAATTTCTTCACAGAGAAATTTAAGTGTTAAATTTAGCAGAGAATAAAATCAAGAAAAATATTATTTTTCCATGGAGAACCTGAAGAGCAGGAATATATTATTTTGTACTGATTAATTTTATTCTAATTTTTTATATATTGCTTACAGGTGCAGTGAAAAGTATTTTTGTCAGTAAAACGCTCTCTATGGAATCATGGATAAAACCACATTTTCCAACCAGCTTCTGCCAGGGGAAGCCCAGGTGCCCTCCTTGCAGCAAAGTGTAAAGGTTTGGAGCCCTGGTGTTGTCCCAGATGTGGAAGCTGTCCCTGCAAGGCAGACACGGGCTGAGCACACGTCTCTTCTCAATCACAGAGGCTCCAGCTTGGCTCAGCCACCTGCAGCCTGGGCAGAAGGATTTCTCCTTTTCCCAGGCTTCAGAAGAGTCAGCAGCCATCAGATGGTGTGACAAAGGTGATGGCACTCTGGATTGGAAAAAAGGCACCAAAAAACCCTTTTGTGAATATTTCCATTATGTTGTTGGAATTTTCCCTCCTTTCCACATGAAGAGGTAATAGAGGACTGTGTCTTTTTTTTTTTGATTAATGGGAGCAGCTTCACACACCTCAACTAATAAGGAAAAGACTAAATAAAAGTTATAGGAACTAGTGAAATAGTCCTGAAATAACATCTGCTCCAGGCTGTGTTCAAGAATAGGTGGGCTTGGTAGGATATTAAGTCTGTAATTTCCTTGTAGGAGTAAACTTTTGAGACCTGTGAAGTTTTGCTTTGAGTGCCCTGGAACTTGCCATGACATGCTGCCCACATGAAGAAAACTAGCAGCTGTTCTTCTTTAACTGTGATTAGGACAATGTTTCTTGAGAATTGTTTAATTAAATAGTATTTCTAAAGAAGATCCTTGAAACCCAACCCAACTTTCCCCCAAGCATATCCATGAAATGCCAGCTGCCTGGTAGCCTGTGCTTGGCTAGTGGTGTAACACAGGCCTGGTTACTCCATTGACAGATGGATGTCTCTGCAGTGGGGAGCCTGGCTGTGAGGGACAGGTCTGTCTCACTTTTGGTGGAAAGCATAAAAAAATCTGACTTCTCAATATTATTATCTCTGAAAGTACTGAAACTTCTTGTTGAATGGAACTCGTGTTTTCAGACTAGTTCTGTGTTTTAAGTCTGTATTTTTTTCTGAACCTAAAATTGAGATAAAATGTCTAAGCTTGTTTGTTACTATGTTCTTAAAAAAATACGGGTTGAATTTCAGGGACATTTCCACTGCTACTTTGTTCAAGAAGGATTTATGCTCCTGAGAAGTCATCTTAAATGAATTCTTTGGCAGACTCTCACGTTGCGTCTTTGGGTTTTAACTTTGAGATTGGCAGAAGAGGGGTTTTTGTCCTGTTTCCAAGTAAAATGAGACCTGTGTGTCTGAGCTGCTTTTCTTTGCTCCTCTTTTTCAGTGCCTTCCGTCAAATAATTGCTGAGCCAGTTGATCAATTTCAATCAAGTGGGACAGAAGGAGAGAGCTGTGAGACATGAAGTTTCAGAAGAAAACAGGTTCTTTGGTATGTCCAAGGGTCCTGGAAGAGTGCTTTTCCCAGGGAAAGTGATCAGAGCGCCAGGAGCCGGCTCCCCAGTCATCCCCTGGACTTTGCACCAGCCCAGCAGAGGCTGCTACCTGCCCCAGTGGAGGGGTTCATGAGAGATCCTTTGGGAACTGGCACCTGAAGGGCATGGGAAGCCCCTCTGCCACCAATGGCACAGTGAGGTCTTTGTCAGGGGATTTACAGTGAGATATTGCTCAGGAACAACTTGTTATCTTGTGCTTGGGTCTCTGCCACGTAATATACTTTATATGAGGCCCAAAGAACACACCTATCTTGGGGCAGCTAGGTTAGCCAGAACTGACAGTTAGATGTTAAATAATTAAATTGTTTTAGCTATTAATTGTAAATGAATGTTGTTTTTAATTGCACTTTAATAATGCCATGCCCTTTATAACCAAAATTAATGTTTTCTGTCTCTCTGTTTTTGAAGTACATGTCAGTTTAATTAAACTATTAATGGTAGACAGATTTTAAGTACTTTATATTCTTCATTAAATTGTATCTGCTCAACAAGCATAAACAGGAAAATAGACTCAGAAGCAGATTCATGTTCTGCCTGATAAATCATTCATCATCAGATAAGATGATGAGGCATGCTTGTTTTTCTGTAGGCTCACAATGATAAACAAATCCACTTTTGTATTGTAATATTTATTGAGTTCATAGAAAAATAAACAAGACTGTTCACTTTTCATATCAGCAACAGGCCTGAAATCTGCTGTTTGCATTTATGACTGGTCAGTCAAGCAATATCTTGATGCTCGGAGGGTCAGTCTTAGTTCATTTTGTCTAGAGTGCTTGTTAGCAGAGCATTTCTCTGGCCTAAGAGATAGTTCTTTCAGGGCCATTCAACTGCAGTAGCAATGAATATTTCTACCGTTCCTGCTGTGTCACCCAATTGTGTGCAGAAAGAATTAAAATAGATTGTGATTTGGCAGAAAATATATATTTGTAATGCAAATGTTGAATAAGTCTCAATCCTTGTATGACTGCAGGAAGGTTGATGGAAGCAGTTTTTTTGAAGATTGTGAAAGACAAATTATGGCAAGGTCATTTCTTCTCTATTGGTAAATCTGCAAATCCTAGTGAGCTGTTAATGGGGTAACAGGCAAAAATTAAGAAACACTGCAGCAACTGCTTCTGATAAATTCCTGTGCATATTATACAGGCAGACAAAGATGTAACTGGTTATAATAGAGACAACAAACGTCCTTCCTTTGTGTGGCAGATCAATCAATAGCCAGGCATGTGATCTTGTTCACTATTATGTTAGTAATGAAACCTTCTTGTGATGTGACAACTGTGGAATAACATTTGGTCACAAAGCTGGTGTTAACAAGCACAACTGGCACTCTGGTAATTAGACTGATTCCTGGTCTACTTTCACAGATTGTCGATAAATGCAGTAAACAACAGGCTGCTTTCTCTCAGAAGAAGTTATATGAAGTTGTCATCCATTTGACGGTATATACTCTATTCTCCTTCATCTTCTATCAGTTTCTGCCAAGGTGAGGATGTGCATATATTTCACTATAAAATAATGTTTCACAGTAGAAATTTTGTGGGCATTGTTAAACAATCACCTACTTAACATCAACCTTTTTTTTTCTCTAAGGACGAAAGCTGATTTCTCAGTTAAAGGTAGGCAGTTAGATGGACATGTTCTTCCTCAAATTTTGAATGTTCTTCCCCCTGATACAGCTGTGTCTGCTGTGGACAGCCATTTATATTGTTTAAGGATAACTGAAATCTTAAAAGCCATAGATTACCCTTGATTTAAAGGCCAAGAATATAGATCATATACAATTGTAGTATAATTTTTTACATTCAACAAAATAACTACATCCAGCCGTGGATGTGCTAGCAAACTTTTCCATCACCAGTTTAGGGCTGTTATGTCAAAACTAATTTGCTGTTTTGCTCTTTCCACAGACCTGCATTAGTGGAAATCTGAACTGTAGTTTGGTGTTTTCACCCTCATGGCAGAGTAAGAAAGAATGAGAGCTCCTTCCCTAGACCCTGTACCACCTCCAAGCCCACAGCGTGGCTCTGCACATAGGAAAATGTGTGAATGCTGTAACTCTGTCTCCTCCACTTGAAAGCAGAAGAATTTAATCAACTGAGGTATGTCTGGGGAGCTTTTTGGTTTATTTTGCATTGGCTAAGTGGCAAAGCTTAAGCTGGAGGCACTGTAAACCAGCAAGGGTTTCTATGCTTGCTCTTCTTTCCTAAGGTGCATTCAGAAACTGGCAACAGTGCATAGGGGATGATGAGTAAGTGGCAATGCCATGGCATATCTGGGCACTGGTGCTACATGGTGCTTTGCTCAGATTTGCTAAGTCCAGCTCCATCCTGATTTCAAGCATCCTAACTGGTTTGATTTGACTAAGAAGGGTTTCTTATACTGGGCCATGTTTTGACCACTTGCTGCAATCAAATTCACTCTAAAAGATCAAGAGAATAATGAGCATCTCTTCATGGCCATTATCAGTTGTTGCCAGATTGTCATTCCCTTTGTAATCGATGAAAAGCGGTGGGAAGGAGTGTTTTACAGTAGGTATCTAGTTTTATGCAGGTTTATTGCAGGAAGATGCCTCATTAGCAGTCAGTAAACATAAAATCTAAATTCACACTCATAAACTAGGGAGAGGTTTTGGACATGTTCACTGAGCCATAGGTATCGAGAAGTTAGAGGCTATAAATAGCAGTGAATGCAGTATGCTAATATGAATGGTTGGAAATGAATATCAGAGGTGTTTGTTGCTGCTTCCTGCAGAGCAGACTCTGTTCTGACAAACCACTGAGAAAGACGAGTGAGGCTCTCTAAGGCTTGTAAGTTTGTACCCTACAGGCTCCTAGGAAAGGATAACTGTGGAAAGTAACAAAGGAGTGTGTGGGGTTTTGTCTGATGGGTAAGAACAGTGTTTAGGGAAGGATTAGCAAGAGGCCTATGGATGCACCAACATGCCATGTGCTCGGAGAAAGGGCAGAGGGAGAATATTTCTTGGCTGGCTGTAGATGGTGGTGTGACTTTGAGTGACACCTCCTGCCAAACAGAACCACAGAATGGGCAATGTTAGAAAGGACTGCAGTGGATTGTCTGGTCCAACCTCCCTGCTCAGACAGAATAATTGTAGAGCACACTTGTGCAGGATTTCGTTCAGATAGTTCCGGAATTTCTCCAGTAGGGGAGACTGGAAGGCAATCTGTTCCAGTGCTTGGTCACCCTCACAGTAAAGAACTTCCTGTCCATCCGTATCTGCCCACTGCCTCTTGTTCTGTTGTTCAGCACCCCTGAGCAGAGCCTGGTCCATCCTCTGACACCTCCCTTCAGACACAGACAGATAAGATTCCCTCTCAGTTGTCTCTTCTCAGCTGAACAGCCCCAGCTCCCTCAGTCTTTCCTTGTGATATGGTCCAGTCCCTCCATCATTGTCAACCTCCACCAGACCCGCTCCAGGAGCTCCATGTCTCTCTTGCTCCATCGTTCTCTGCAACTAGGGGGACAGAAATGAACCAGCTTGTGCTCCAGATCCCTTGAACTGTTGACCTAAGACTCTGAGATCCCTCCTGATTGTTTGCAACCTGCTTGTTGGGACCTTGTCACTGCCTACCTGGAAAATCAGTAGAGTGCAACAATCAATGGGCAATAGTAGGCTGGGAAGTTTGTGGGTGATGTCTCTTTAGTGGGGCCCAGGGAGACAATACAACTGCGTGTGGGTTGGGTCTGGTCAGTGATTGAGCCCTCCATTCCCCTCAAAAGGGAGTCACCAATGACTACTACCTTTTTTTTTCTTCATGGAGGGAGTTTTGATGCAGGGAGTAGGCTGCCCAGCCCTAGGCAGCACCTCCATCTTGGAAGAACCTTCATCCATGTACACATTTCCCCAGTCCTCCTTTTGCTGGTTCTCAGATTCCAAGATCTCATTTTATAAGGGCACCTGGGAAGGTGAGGTAAGTTGGAGGGGGAATCATCCCCCCACCCCAAGCAGAAACCCATTTCCACTCCATACAGTCCTTCCTTGGTTGGGAAGGCACGACAGGAGAGCTAGGTCTGATCTCCTCCTGAAAACAGGGTCAACCTTGAGGCCAGACCAAGTGTTTTGTCTCGTCTGCTCTGGTGAACCTTCAAGAGTGGAGATGATGCAGCCTCCCTGGGACACAGCTCCACTGCTGTTCTCCTATCCAGAAATCACACTTAAAGTAAAAATGTGTCTTTTCAATTGTTTCTCCAGTCTCAGCATGACTTTGTTTGGACTCAGTGCTTCCCAGAACTCCACATAGACTTCTATGGCCAAGCCTCACGTCTATTCATAAAAGACTCAAATCTGCTGCTGATGCAGCACTGAGATTGCATTGACCTGTCAGTGGGAATCCATAAGCAATGAATATTTTTTTTTGCTGCTGAAAGTCAGAAAATAAAGCCTCAGCTTCTAGAAGAGACCAGGTTCAAGCACCACCAGCTGCAGTAGGTAACAAGAATGGTTGTGTCAATTAAAAAAGAGGCAGTTGGTCAAGAGCATGTTGAAAGCATCACACATTTGGAGAAAGAACCTCTGCACTTGGGAGGTAACTGAAGAAACAAGACAAGGAGATGTTTTGCCATTCATATAATTTAAGCTCTGCTGTTTTAAGAAGGTTTTACCATACAGATTACTTTATAAAATGATGACAATGCAGAGTGTTTCCAGCACATGGCTGGAAAATCTTTGCTATGGCTGCGCTATTCAGACCTTGTCAATGCACTGCCTGTAGAAAAGGATTTTGTCAGGAAAAAGCAGTGTTCTCCCTTCTTAGGAGTATATTTCACATTCTAAAGTGAGTTTTCAGGTAAGATTGAATAAATTCTAGTTTACTAGATTTGATTTCTAAAGAAATGTGAGGACTAGAGTACAGCTAAGTGACAGATGCCTTGGCATTTTGTGCTTATTTGCCATCAGTTACTTCCATATTAAATTGTTCCATTTACAAGCTAGTATAATTTTTTTCCTAAGCACCTACTGCTCCGTCTAGTTGTGGAAAATGAAGCTCAGTTGTTTATGACCTGTGCTGTACTTCATCACTAACCTTCACCAAATGTACAAGTTCTGGAATGAGAATAAAGCTTCACCGGTGGTAGCACAGCATGAAGCAAAGTATAATGCATATTACTGTGGTGCACCTGTGCTGGCTTTCCCTTGCTTCCTAGGATAAAAAGTGCACTTTATTAGCAGGCAAATAGGTAAGGCTTAAGAGGCCAATCTTCTGTGCCTGGCATATGGAGCTCCCATTAACATTAGTGAGAAAAATGGATATATTTTGACAAGAGAACAAGGACTTAAGGGAACAGATGAATGCAGAAACAAGACGACACTTTCATAGTCACTTTTCTGACCAAAACTGAATGTTTTGAGTGTCTAAATGTAAAGATTGCATAATGTGTTTTTATTACTTAATGACTGTCAAAAACCAAGTGAGGAAACCAGGTCTAGTCTTTACCTTTGAGAGAACAAAGTGCCACCATCTCCTCAGACTGTGCTTAAGCTGTCCTCAGTAAAACACCTCTCTGATACCTCTCCCATACTCTTAACAGTTATCTTCTTGTTTTCATCTTCCCTGTGGAAATTATTCATTAAAAATTCCTTAAGAAGAAAGCTTTGTTGCTATCTAGAGATCTCAGATTTTTTTTTTTTTTTTGCATCTTTTGAAGGCTGCAGATGCATGAAAGAAGGTAGTGAGAGAAGGATGAAGATCACCGATTTTCTTCTGGTGAGGCACAGAGTTGTTGTGGCTCTGTGATCTCCAGCAGCCTTTTGTGTCACAGCCCATGTAGACCAAACCTGCTTTTGGGGTGGATGCTCTGTGATGGCTGGAGGAATGAGATCAGCCTCTCCCTGAAATTACAAAGGTGGCATTTCTCCAGTGTTTAGTGTAGGCGAAGAATTCTCTGGATGTCCTACTTCACATGTACAATGTATCTGTTTTCCCAATTTCTCACAGAGTTAGATCCTGAATTTTTAACTACCTAGAAGAAATGAGAGATCAGCTGAAGAGGTTTCTGAATTAGGTTTACTGGGAAGTCTCAGGTTTATTCTAGTTTTTCAGGATCTAGCAGTAGCCGAGAACATTTATTCCCATTTCCACGTGGCAAAGAAGATTTTTTTTTCTTCTCTTTTCTTTCAGTCATGGGTTTCATTGCAATTACTTTTTTTTCTGTCTTTCCAAAATCCAATTACTGAAATGCTACTTTTTGGATGCCCTTAGCCAACACCCTGAGTGTCCATTTGAAACAGCTAGACAGGTATGATGTATAACAGCTTTTTGGTTGAGAGGCAAAACTGAATCCAATCCGGATGAACCTAAATTGGGCATTTTAATAAGTTTTTTACAAATTAGAAAAAAAAAAAGTTTAAATATTTATTTCTTTCCTAGGTTTTTTAGTAGTTTTCTTTTTTCAATCATAACACATTTTCATTTCCTAGTGGTAAAGCTATTTTTAGAAAAAAAACTTACTTTGGAATCTCACTTTTAATATAGTAAAAACAGTTTCAGCATTTAAAAAAAGGAGAAAAAAATAAAAACACCTTCTCCCTTGTCAGGGAGCTCTGTCCTGTACTGAGCACAGAGGCCTGCGGATACTGCCCGGACATGGACCATGCCAGACACTGCCAGAGCAGCAGCAGTATCCTGCTCTGTCCTGCTGGGCTCCACAGACTGCCCCAGCTGAGTTCTATTTACCAGGCTCACCTCAATGTGCTGCAATTGTAGCTGCAATCTGCAGGATTGTATCCTGTGATGCAATCTGGGCAGGGCATGATTAAAGAAGGCAACCCAGCCTTCCTGCTGCCCAGCCAAGTTTCATGAACTTCTTGGTAAATTCAAAACCTGGTTATTTTTTCAGTATGTCTGCTGGGGAGGTAGCTTCCTGACACATTTGAGATACTTTGTCACTTGGAAACATTGAGCCAATTTAGTTAACGTTTTAATTTTTGTTGGATTTATAATTGTAGTCATGTGTCAAGAGGTCAGTTTAGACAGCTCGGTAAGCTGGAAAAGCCAGCAACAAATTGAATCAAGTGAATATCCTTTCATTTCAACGTCTTTTTCTCTCCTCGTTTCAAGCCCAGAAGGAGGTCTTAAAGTTG